TTCCTGTATAGGAAAATAATATGAAAAATAACTTTAATAGTCATTATATGGACTATATTTTATCATTATATTTCTACATCATTGTTATTATATAAACACTACAAACTCATGGAAATCCTAAGAATATTCTGTAAAAATAGTAAATACCATGAGAACGAGTGTCCATGGGGGATTAATAAAAAAAACAACTGTGGTATAATTTCCAATTTAATTTCATTATTAAAATTGTAAATTGATTTGAGTATGAGTTCAGAACTAAGATTTATTTTAGAAAAGTAGATTTTTTGATAGCTAGTTAATACTTTTATGTGCCATTTTAAATTTCCTCAGTAATTTTCTTGGGCGTAAAAAAACTAATATTATGTGTCCAATTTTTTATTTTTCCAAATTAAAAAAATTTAACTTTAAACTAAGTTAAGTTAATTTTTTTTTTCAAAGTTAACTTTTAACTTAACGATTTAACGAAAAAAATGTAAGTAACTTTTAATTTAACTTAACTTTATTATTTTGAAATAATTTAACTTAACGAGTTAAAAAAAATCGTTAATTCGCCCAGCCTTGTGTATATTAAGATGATCCATAAAAAAAAACTGATAAAAAAATTTAAATCAAGTAGCCCCTATTTTTTTAAGTGATGAATGAGAAAAAATTACATATATACATCATGTATACTGTTCAATAATTACTAGCGCACGATTGTTTTTTTTCAAATGAAGATAAATAACGAAAGTTTAGGAAATCGGTTATAAAAGTGGATTTGATACCTGTTGTAGATTGGTAAGTCGATATCTATAACGGAGTAGAGATAGGTGCAATTGGAAAGATACATCGACCAAGGCTGGAGCTGTACACGTTGTTTTTTACTTTTGTTGTGCTATACGAGACATATCCGTCGAGCGTATTCCATCGCATATATCTGTACAATATTTTAAAAACATGGTAAATCCGATAATAATATTGAGTCAATAATTTATATACATTTGTCGTATTAAAATATCACAAATTATTTATAAATGGACACTCATAGACCGACCGTTTGCATTGGTCAGCTCGTAGCGCTCGGTTTATTTTTCGTTAGATTCCATTTCCAAATATTATGACAATAGTAATAAAAGCATTAATAATTGCCATAAATCCATTTTCCAACACCAGTATAGCATAATCTAATTTAAAACAATGTAAAATTAGAAGTTTGCGATTTTATTATTTCGACGTTCGTCCGTAAAAACGGGACGAAAAATGCAGTGTTTAGGCACAAGAAAATCATCAGTGGTTTGTTTTCTGACTACGAGTACCTTATTCAAATGCAAATCAAAAATATTTTAACCCCGAACCAGGATCGCAGGATAACGCATTTATATACCTGTACGGATCTCGGTTACAGGAACAGACGCATCGTGCTGTTGAACTATACACTTGAACACTTGGTTCATAGCAATGCTTCGAGATTAAAGCGTTTTCTTCTTTATTTTTTTTTTTTTTACTATTTAAAACAATTAAACGCATGTTTTTTGGCTATTTTATGCATGTTTTACAATTGTATAATACGACGATGCCAAAAAGCAATAGACATCGAACGCATCACGTGCCTTGAAAAAATAGATATAAAGTCTACGTCTTGAATTATAAAAAATTAAATTCTGTTTGATTTATATTATGACTTTATTTAATTTACTTTGTTTGTATATTTATGATTATTGTTATATTTTATTAAATTATATCATAATTTTTAATCTTAGGCTTCTATATTTTAATGAAAGTTATTAATTTATTGAAATTAGTAAATTCATAAAAAACGATTTTTTTTTTCTTAGATATATCTAAAAACATATAACTTTCAAACCGGTCCGTTGTTAGATACGAGTTAATTATATCTGTAATCTATATGATTTAGTTATAATTCCAACCAATTTTTTTATAGTATTAAAACATAATGTGTACGTAGCAGTACCTGAACCTATTACCAAGCGAAATATTACTGGAAGTTTATTAACATACTCGACAGCAGTAACTTACGTTTTTTAAAAATAATTTTTTTTTTTTAACATATACGAGTACTTTTAATATTGGCTTGATATTTTTGCACACGTTTAAAATTTTGGTTTTTTTTTTAATTATTATTATTATAATTCTCGTTAAATAAATAAATAAATCGTTATAGTTGATTGGTTTGAAATAAAAACTTTGCGACAATATAAACACTTATTATGCCAGCGGTAAGCAACGAACTAAAAACAATACCGTAGGTTCTAATTCAACAAAAAGGTATCTTCAGTATTAAATCACACGCGGCCCAACCACGAGAGTTTTATTTAAATTTTTATTATATTATATTATCGAATATCTTAACGAAGAAATGACAGCGAAGAAAGGAGGAGATTCGGCTGATCTTAACTATGATATGAACTACAATTTGTTCTTGCTGAAGACGTCCTTGCAGAATTTGAAAACGGCCCAGGGTAAGTGTGCATAGTCAATGAGAACACCACCGGTTCGAGACCGGTTTGCTTGGTTGGCTTCGTTTAGTTGTCTATCGGTTTGATTAATTTTTTTTTTTATTTTACCCCATCCCGCAGACAAGCACAACGTGAATCGTTGGGTTCACAAGCTGTTGTCCAGCAATAAGACTGTGGCCGAGATGAAGCTGCGCAACGACTTCATGGCCCAGCTGGTGTTCTCCGTGCAGCAGGGCGAGCTCAATTCGCCGTTTAACCAGTACCCGCCGTCGTCACCTCTCAGCAACCTTACGTACCTGCTGACGGGCTCAGCCCCCAGTTCCACTAAGGACGCAAAAAAGGACGGCGGCGCGTGGGAGTGCGACTTGTCCAGTGAAGACTCAGACAAGCCAATGCTGTACAGACAGTCGCCGGACGGTGGGGCTTTTCTGGCCGCGCAGCCCGTGCCCAAGTGTGGAGCGTTCTGTTACCTGGCCGTGGTCAGCAAGCCCCCGGCAAAAGAAGAGAACCCCAAGCTGTAGAATATGTGAAATATAATACATAATTTTATGATCAACTGTGCGTTTTCTTATCCGTTTTCCGATTCATGCCGTCGAACGGCACGGCATTGCAAATTTTTTTTTCATTATAAAAAAATGATTTATCCGCCCGAAAAAAACTATTTGAACCGAAGTCATGAAAAAAGTTTGAAAAAATAACGATCGTATAGGTTCACTTGTCAGTTGGTATACTTAATGCGACGAGGGTACGTTTTTCTAGTGGGTTGAAAACGAATACTTGTTACGGCCTTGTATTCGCGTTTTCAAGCGATCGGTTTAAAAACCGAATTGCAAATTCAATGGAAACTTCTCGTCCGTGAGGACATTAATATAATTCATATTAATATTTTAATTGGCTAAGTTGAACGTCAATACGACGGTTTTTATAGTGGGGGCCAGTTAGTAGTGAGGCGACGTCTCTTTTAAACTTTGAGAAGGAATAATGCTCAATAAATATATTTTTTAGTTTATGATCGGCGCCGAAGGCCCAAATTGCTAATTTTAATTTTAACACATTCTTGTTTCATTTGGAGAAATATTCGAATTTTTCAAAATTGTAAAAATACAATTTCTCGTTGAGAAAAACTAACTACATAGAATACAGGCAACAAAAGTTGCAACGTGAAAAAAGACGGTTGGACGTTTACTGTCCCAAAAAATCGGGCGACAACAATCAACGTCAGTGTACCTGTTGCGTGCCGTCAGTTCAGCAGTAAAGATTTATATGCGGTACAGGATTATTAAAATGTGTGTTACAAGTGTGTTTTAGTCCGGTTGAAGTGAGCATCTTCACGTCAGTTTGTTTTATGAAATAATTATTTGTACTTAGAATATTTTTTATTGAATTATTTTGGACTTGGAATTATTTACAAATAAAAGTGTTTTTTAACTTGGAATATTTTATATTATTGTTTATATATTATATAAATATTAAATACTGTTTATTATAAAATATTTCAAGTTAAAAAAATACTTTTATTTGTAAATAATTCTAAGTCTAAAATAATTCAATATTTTAGTATTTAATGTTATAATGTATAAGTTATAGAAATCTTATTTTTCTTGAGATTTTAGTAAAGTCATCAAGAACTTTATCTGTAATTAAAACTATTTCATGATGAATATTTAATAATGCTAAACTATTTATTCGATTTTCTCCAGTAGTATTTCTGAGGTATGTTCTAAGTCTTTTTAAGGTAGAAAATGACTTTTCACAGCTTGCTTTAGTTACGAGAAGCATAGCTAGTATTTGTAGAAGTTTATAAGTCGATGGAAAAATTATTTTTTGGAAATAGTTTTCCGTTTTCACAGGACTCCTTAAATAAGTGAGATCCTAAGGTGAGCACCTACTCTGCCTAATGGATAATCCGGCACAGACTATGCTATGTTAGACGGAGACAATGTATACGGTTGTAACGTCATCTTAAATGGATTATTAGCCATTATATATTGAATAACGATGGCCGTGGAGTTGATTAAAATTAAAGATTCAGATAAATACATTTGAGTTTCCGTGATCTACAATTCGTTTTGCTGAAATTTTCGTCCGAATCGACCGAATATACATTCTTATATAATATTATTTTCTAAATAAATAATTAATGCATTCAAATTATTCATGTTTAAATATATTCTCCTAATATTCATACTGTGTATCACTGACGACCAATGGATGCAGTGCCTTATTTACCAGTAAACACTATAAGCTAGTGCTTAGGGCGGCAATTTCTCAAGAGTATCAAATCATTTTTAATGTTACATTTTTATTATATGTAACTAGAACTAAAATAAATGTAACTAATTATAAAATGTTTTATTTTATTATAGTCGATGGGTACTAGCCACTAACTATTTAATTTTAAATATAATTTAACTATTATATATATTTACTACTATGTTTTTTATCATTATATTTTATATCATTTTTATAATTCAGTTTTTCATATGTATGTATCCATTTTTATAACAGCTGTATATTTTTATTTTACATAATTAAAATTTTATGTAATAAAGGAAACAACTATAGTTATATGCTTTAATAACATTTTTTAGACTATAAAAATATTTATATAAAAAGGTGGCAGTTTGTTTAGTGCTTAAAGTGGCACAATGGTTAAATCCGGCACTGAAACTTTAAACTTTTAACATCCGTTAACTTCCCAGATTCTATCATTTATATTATGTACGTTATATTAATTTACATTTTTAATTCCATTAGTATGTTATAATTATTTTTAAGTTCACCCGGTCAACTAGTAATATGATATAAATATAAAAATTAGGTTGTATACATTTTCATTGATTTTATTATTTAATTAATTGTTACAAATTTAAGGTTATTACAAAAATATAAAGTAATATTAAGAACTTTTTATAACATAAGAAAAATCATTCATTAATATAACATTCATCATATATAAATATAAAGTTGACAGAATAGGTACCTTATACAAAGACTAAGTAATTGTTGTATATATCTGTAAGTATTTATGATACAAATATACAAAAATACTATCATCCATTATTATCATGTATATAATTTTGACGTTTTATCAAACATTTATCAACATAGATTATTTAAATATTTTCAAATTTCCATAATTTATCATTACCTGAAAATCAAATTTTCTTGTACATATGCTTTGCAGTATTTCCAAACATTTTAATTTTTAGTTACATTCCTTTACATTATAAAAATAAAAATATTTTAAATTTTATAGCTTAAATGTATAATATTATTATTTTTAGTTTCCATTTATTTTTTTTGTATTTTTGCTGTGTACTGTTTGTAATAATTATTTAGTTTTTCTAATGCTGACTTCAATTTATTTTCTCTTACTGGTCTAGCAGTTGGAACAATAATGTCAGTATATGGTTCCGTGTAAAATCCATCAAAGATAACAAATGGTTCTATATAACATAAAAAATAATCATATTTAGTTATAAAAGTTAAAACATAAATATATTAATAATGGTATTTCAGTTTTTAGGAATTTAAAATTTTTCGATGTAAATAAAAACAATATGTGAAATTAGATTATAAAAAAGAGGTGTTATATAATTTATATATTTTTTAAGCAAAATTCAAATATTATTTTCAAAAATGCTTTTAATTAAATCGACAGAAAATTTTAAAAATAATTGTTGCTAGAAGAACCAATTTTATGAGACCTTCAATTATTTTTTAAGTCCATACTAAATTTATTCCTTAATTACAAATACTTCCACCAAAAATGTGAGATCATTTACAAACTATTATATAAATAAAAAAAAATAAAGTATAATTGTAAAATCAACATCAACATATAACTGAATCTAATCGAAATTTAAAATATTATCATGAACAATGTAAGATTCTAGTGCAAGTATGACTTATTTATGATTCCAACCAAACTTTATATACTATTCTAGTGAGTTGTTCGATTTAAAATGTAGTAATACTTACTGCGTGTTATGCGAACTGCTGTAATGTCTGGATCTGTGATGTTCAATCTGTAATAAATATCGTATAATATAATTCAGTGATGTTTCTTCCACTTGATTGGTTGTAATCAAAAATGTATAATAATATTTAAAAACAATTTACTGTTCAATATGTTTTATTGAACTATTAAATTATACAATAGATATTTGCATAAATAAATATTTATAATTCTAGAATTTTGTTTGAGATTAATCGTTTTAATTTTTGTTAGAATTGTTTTAGATTAATATAGTCACAACTATATTAATCTAAAACAATTTAAACGTCATAATAAATAATTGTCAAATGTTTTTACTCTTTGTAGGTATGGTCGTCGAAAACTTCACTAATGCATGGCTTACTATAGCAATAAACGGCAGAAAAAATGATCCACTTGCAGATGGATAAAAAACTGAAACATTCAAAAAGTATGAATGAATAAAAATACATAAATGCACTAGTATACATTTGAAAAAAAATACCCTAAACCGTTATTAATTTTATTTATTTATTATGAATTTCAACAGCACTGAGGTACAGAGTATCGTATTAGTTATAAATAATTTAATAATTAATAATAATAATAATTATTAATATTATTATTATTATTATTATTATTATTATTAATTAATAATTAATTTAATTTATATAATTATTATATACGCACTATTATTTAGAACAAAATTATTTAAGAAAGTTATTAACTAAGAAAATGATGTAAAAGCACAGAGAAACTAAAATAAATTTGTTGAATTTGAAGTCCCTCACATAGGAGTCAATATTAATAAATTTAAAATATAATATTATTATTTTAATGAGCAATTTTGACTGCATGTTTTGCATATAATAAGACATGTAATACTTGCTATAAAAATCAGTGATAGTTCGATTTATTAGGATCAATCATATATTGTCAATATAATTTGAATATTTATTCCCTAATCAACAAATTAATAAAATTCAAAGATTATATAATATAGCTCTAGGAAAATATATTGAGAAAACGTTCAACTGTAGTATTTACAGCAACAAAAAACCTGTTCTTTTTTACATATATTAAGATTATGTATAAATGTTACCGGTAATATGGATAATTCAGGTATTTCGCAAAATGCCTAGGCATTATGCAAAATGCCAATTTTTTTTTTAGGCAAAGTACAAAACATTTTATTACCTATATGTTATATTATATTAAGATTCTTATATTTATTATACATTGTTACACATATTACAAACAAAATTTAATTTTTATGTATTATTATATTATAACTATTATATAAATATTTTACTTAAACTACTATTTAATTATTATAACATGTTGTAGAAAAGTGAAATTTTGAAGTGCACAAAATGTTATTTTTAAGGCAAATATACTTTTTATTTTGTCACTTGGACTTACAAACACATTTTAAAAGTCTTTGGCCAATTCCTGTGGATTGAATTTTTATCAATTCATTTTACTGTTCATCAAATAAAAAACTAGTATTAGTGGCGAAATTTTTAAAAAATTTTGTAGTTTGTTATAAAAATTTGACCTCATATAAATCGTATGCATAGTTGCAATACCAAAACGAGACACAAAAATTACGATAAAAATTATTAGTACGTTCAATATTGTACCCCTGAATAATTATTATAGTAGTAAAAGAATGTTAATCTTTATTGCGTTAAATCGTGCACGTACATTTATGATAGACGATAATTAAAGCCGTTGGTAATAGACGATGCCCAATTTTGTTTGTTTTCATCATATTGCCTATTCCACGTTTGGCATTATACATAATACCTAAACAAAGCTCGTATTATGTATATTGTCGAATGATTTTTGGCATTTTATATAATGCCTAAGCATTTTTCAAAATACAGGATTATCCATATTGCCGGTAACATATACATTTAGTTACAATTAAATTCATGTTTTTGTAAGTTATAAATAAAAATAATAATTACCGTATAAATTGCAATTAAAAATATATTTTAAATTTATAACCAAAGTTTATTATAAATAAGCAAAAAAAATTAATAAACTCAGGGCAAAAAGTTCAAAAAGCAGATACTCATACATTTATTTTTCAAGAAATACACAAGATTTGCACTATTAATATATTATTATAATTATTTGTATTGATTACTTACTTCATTCTGATGTATTGATATAATTTCAGAGATAACCTATTAAAACAAAAAAAAGAGAAACATCATGTATTAGATTTTATTTACCGTGTATAATACGTTATTAAATGGATTCAAATAACTGTCAATTGGCATTATTTTACAATTAAACATAAAATATTGTGCAGATATTAAATGTTATTACATCCTCACGGTCAAATGTTCACCAGAATATTAAATAACAAATTTATAAGAAATAAATAACCCATAACTTGCGTTTATCCACTTGGAAATATAATTGATTTTATGAGTACGATTGTAAGAGTGGAAAAAAAATATTTTGTCGTAAAAATAACCTAAGAAACTATGTGCTCATACGAGAAGCGAATGTATGAGATACATAATACATATAATATTGTCCGCGGCGAAGAGTACACGACTAGCCATCCAAAACGAACAAAATCGCAGTAACCAATAAGTTACGGTCCGCGAAGTATTCATACCAATGTCCGACCGTGGAGTATTTTTATATGAGTCCGACCAAAGTTTTCCCAAGCGCAACGAACCGACTCCGAAAAACGATTAGCAATAAAATGCACTTACGGAAGAGGTACGGCGATGAACGGGAACAGCTTTTCCTCCGCGGACGATCACAGCCGATGGAAAGTACGTTGAAAAGCAATCTGCCGCAGCGGACGTTTGAATGACGACTCGGTTTGCGCGACGGTTGTAGTCGCCCAGGCGGAAACGAACGACGGACAGACGATGGCGGGGTGTATAAGCGACCGAAACCCGTTTGGTCGCCACCCGGTACCGTGGCAACGTTGCGTCCAGGATGAAACTTCAAGACGCGTCCTTGGGTATTTTTAATTCAAAAACGTTACGAACCTATTGGACGTCGTACTCGGCAATTGCTTTCACGTTGAAGTCCTTGTATCAAAATTAATGCACAGCATTGACTGCCGCGAATTTTTTTTCTTAACGTAAATTGCAAATTTTTCGTTTTCGCGACCTCCCCGGGAATCGGGTATGCTGTCGGCGAGATCGCAAACGCCTCCGGGACGTTAGTCGTAATCGACATTCATTAGCGACTAAAAACATTGCTATTATAAAACTTATCAATTGTACAAATAGTACATCGTTAAAAAAAATATTAAGTCGTATATTACGAGGTATTTTTCGTATTATTCATGTGACGTTGTGGTACTCATATTAAATAATCTGTATATTGTTAACTTTATTGCTCATGCGTTTTAAATAAGGCTGCGTACGTGGTGCTCCGCAATACCGCAACGTTTTCACCTGCGTGTGTAGTAAGTGTAGTTTGTGCGCAAGTCGTCTGTGTACACGATGGCGACCGGTCGTGGAACACCTGCAGGCGACGGATAGCGGAAAACCTTTGTTCTTCGGTGGAGGTAGCTGGGGTGCGACCGTTTCGATGGCTGTTTAGCACGCCATACGTGGAAATAGGTAACGGTTTGATTTTTTTTTTTACGAGTAATACTAAAAAAATAAAAATCTAAAATAGGGCATCGCACTAGAATTAAAAACGTTTTATCGCACACTTCGTCTTTCGAAAACATTGTTATCCTTGAAATACATAATATATAATTTAATACATATTATCAAAGATAGGATTTGTATGCAATAAAAAATCGTAAAATATGCATTTAAATTTTTATCAGATAAACACAAAAAATATTATTACAAAAAAAAATATTTATTTATCGAAATACATCAGTGATTGGCTGTTTATCATAATATAACATAATTGAGAAATAAAATAAAATAAAATAAAATTTATGTTTGACGAAAAAATCAAGTTTTATACTTTAATTAGCAAGTCTAGAATTAAATACGAAATATTTATATTAAATTATAAATATTAATAATGAAATATACTATAAAATATTAAATTTTCGCATTCTTATAATCGAAATATGCAATAATATTAATTTTATTTAATATATGCAATAATATGATTTTATCCAAAATATGCAAAAATATGCAAAATAAAAATACCACCATTTACCTCATCATGAGGTGATTCGTGGACATTAGTGACAAAATCAATAATCAGAAGTCGCAAAAAAAAACATGCTGTTGCATACAAATCCTAGCCCTGCATATTATGTTTGCGTCACAAACGTTACAATGGTCGGAGGGTTTTATTACGTTTATTAGCCCTTCAAAAAAAACTGTTATCCTTGAAATCAAGAGTGAACACAGGACAAGGTTCACCTCCCTCCCATTATCAATATATCAGAAGGCATATTTAGAGTAAATAATATGACAGGAATTTAATAGTTATTTTAAAATTTCCCGTGAGATTTTTTTACAGTCATTCTCCTTTTTGATTTTTCCTCTACCTAAGTACATTTTAAGCGGTACAATGGTCGGAATAATATTTCCCTTTTTTTTTTGCGAGTGCGTTGTTCGCATTACCAGTAAAATATATTTCACCGATGCTTATTTTTTAACATGGCATAAAACATAAACATTAATGAATAATTTATTTTTGACTGTTATAATATAATTATACGAGTATAATAGACTCACAATAAACGTAACGTTCACTTTTAAATAATTTAAAAAAGTTCAAAAATACAAACGGACACGCTGGATACGTTTTAATAACTGAAATGTACACCCGGTGAAGTGTTTAGTTGTTTAGAACGATACTTGAATTTTTCGCGTGGGAAACCAAACGCAGTAATCTTTACGCGTAGCTAGAAGAGGAGATGACTGACTCCAGAAATCATACAGACGAGGATGCTGAGTGACAATATATCATGGGAGTTGATCACTGCATTTATCGAGTTCATGATGCGAACAAAATCAATCAAGAAAAGAAGACTGCAGTAGCACATTTTAATTCGAATATATTAAGTTTCGTAATCAAGCACATCGAATATGTACTGTAAATAATTGGTCCATCGTAATTAAGTATACCGAACACTGTAAATGATGATTACCAAAGGCGAAGTTTTGTATATTTTTACTACTCCTGACTCAACTGATTAACTTAAAATTATTAATTTCCTCAACATTTTATCTTCTAACGTTTACTAAACTTTTTTGCGACTTTCTGGTAAAAAAAAAATGTTTATTGGCAACTCAAAGTATTTGAGTTGTCAATAAACATTTTTTAAATAATTATTATTTATCCATTTATTTTATTCTATAAATAATCTGGTAAGAGTTTCTATATTTATATTTATTTATATATTGTTTACGCTGAACTCTATATTGGATGTATTATATTTTGGTTTGGCGGGTAATATATTTGTGGTGGACAAATGATAAATAATGAGTATTATAATATTTTTGTAAGTTGGATAGTTCAATAATTATTACATTTGTTAATCGAATAATATTTGTCGGTTTAATCTAATATAATAATACTCTAGGCCAGTAATTTCTGAACTTTTTTGGTTCATGCATCCCCAAAATAAAAAATATTTAATCGCATTTCAATAAAAAAAATTTTTGTAAATTTAAAAATAAATATTTTATAATGTAATATACAATATAAATATTTGCCTTGGGCCCTCTATAGAACTTAGCATTTCTTTACTTCTACATATAAACTATTTTTATATTCATTTACGAGTATTAACAATTTATTTATTTTTATTTTTTTAATATTGAATAATATTCGTTAGTCGGTTTTTTATTCATAAGTCATAACTCTATGTTAATAACTGACTTATTTATATACTTATATATCATTACATAAGCTTTATAAAGTTACACTTATAACAGTTTTAAAACACGTTGCAGTCAATATAATACATTATAGGTTTGAAATCAATCAAAGTTAAACTATATTTTCAATAGATTTAATATTTTTAAGATCCGATAAGTTTGGCGCCTTTCTCTTCCAGTTTCAGTGACAGTGGTTGACTCTGGAACCATGCTTCGTCCAAAACGACTTCCGGGTCTTTCATCACGGTTGGGTGAGCGGTGTTCGGCAACGCCACGTTATAGCCCGGAAACCAAATGGGAGGTGTGGATCCTCTGAGCACGGCCGCCGACTCAACAGGTGCTCGGGTTTCCAACATCATGTTGCGCTTAAGCGCATCGGCTTCATCAGGCAGGGTCGACTGTGGGTCCAACGAACCTCCACCCAACAGCACACGCAGATCGTCCGTAAATTCCATGTCTGATGCTTCCACCGTGATCACGTTCAGCTTGGGATTAATGCTCTCCAAACGCGCGCCTTTCTCCATTTCCGGATCCTTTACGTTGACAATGGTCGGAGGCGAAATAGGGATGACCAAATTCTGTAGGATCATACGAAAGCATTTTGTTAAGCGTGGCATAAATATGATACATTGCGCGTTCGCCGCCTAGTGCATTAGTGAGCCGTGGTTCAGAAATATAATATTTCGTTATTGTAAAAGTATTCAACAGAAATATTAATTTGTTTCCAAAGTTCAACTTAAATTATCAATATCGACACCGATGTTGTCTTACCTCATTGGACATGGACGCGACAGGACCGAGTGCTACGAGTGGTGCCTCGAGGTTACCTTTGGAGAACAAGTGTTCGTATACCTCGATCGGGTCGGTCTTCATACTCAACCCGTTTTCGATCGATCTCATGATGTACGCTAAGTACTGTGGATCTACATAATTTTCCTTAAAAAAACACACACAGGCATGAATATAACTATATACTTTATAAAGTAACGTTTGAAATAACTAAATCAGATGAAAATTAAATTAAAGCTAATGTTTATCACGCTACTATTTAGAATTACAAGATCTGACGATGAACATTTTTATTTTGAAGACTTTATAAGTGGTGTTGTACCGACTACCGAGGAATTTTCATTTTCTATGGTGATTTAGATAATCAAGGTTGGAATAATTATCGTTGATCCTCAATTGCTCCATTCCTCAATTATTTTTAAATCCTGTCCTTCAATGTTTTTTAGTGTTAAATTTATCTCGATGTATTAATGTTTCGATAATACTCTTATACTTCGTCCTCAAATTTGATTTTTCATTATTCTACTGTTTATAAATTGAGTTGTCTTACGTTTTCTTCCCTAGAGTTTTTGGACGTGGCGTCGTACATATTGATTATTTTCTTCTTAGGTCTGCGTTCGTCCAATATTGTAATACCGTTTAGAAGTTCGGAAAGTTCAATGTCCTTATTTTCAGCCTCGACCAACTTTTTGACGGTTTGCAGAGTCAATTTACATTTATCTACTGGGCAAGGACAAGGACAACACTTCTCAACTTTAGGCGGTTCGGGTTCACATTTTTGTGGATTGTTGTGACACCGACAATTGTCCGCATTATTTCCCTAAACATAAGGCCATAGGTTAAACTAATGAGAATTTATCAAATTGCGTACCTCACACATATATTTATGTATAAATACTCACTGATTCCATTTCGATGCTTTTATTTTTTCTTTCGTTCTTTTGATAGTAAAATGTACTTTTCTTAAAGTTATGGGTTTAGGTTAATAAATACTTCTACTGCCTATTATAATTTATAATTCCGTTTCTTTTTAATTGCATTAACTGTTTTTTATATATTATTCTTAAACAACGAGTTATGGTGACAAAATACAACACAAAAATTGTAAATATTGTTATATACCAGTGTATATATTGTAGTGTTTTATATTATTAAGAACACATGTATTAAAACTAAAACGTATATGAACCTTAAAAAAAACTACCAAGAATCTAACAAACTATTGTTTGATGATTAAGATATTAAGAAACTGATATTTTTTATCAATTTTTTATTGCTGTTAGAATTTATATTAAAATTCAATAAATATTATAATAACTATACTATCAATATTATATTTTCAGATTCTAAATTGGTTTATTCGATATAAGTATCGAGTAAAATATAAGTTATACCATATACAATTCTTATAATTTATAAATTTTCTATGTCTAGGAATAATGTATTATTTCATAAGGGTATAAAAATATTCATGGATCATATTTGCTTTAATGGACACCCGCGAAGCACAGCAGTTAAGGTGATAAACTTCAAATGTATATTGAAATATTATTTTACTTAACGGCTTTTATATGATAAACCATTCATTACTTTCCTTTTCACTTTATTTGAATACAACTTGTCGCTCAAGGTTTTTACTGTACGGTAGTTTTTATTTTGTTAAATAAAAACTAAAATTGCAATCTTTGCAAATGTTAGGGATGCAACTTTTTTCCGTGCAACACACTTTTCTTGTAAGTTCTCTGTTATCAGATATTTAATAATTATAGTAAATAATTAATACCTCACCATATTCAATCGAAATCACTTCCATTATGAAATTGTTACTAAATATTAACGCGTGCACGAGTCACTACGATTATACGGACAACGCGCGGAGTAACACTATGGAATTATATTTCAAAATTATGAATTTAATATTTGTCCAAATTTATTTATAAATATAATTAATATTTGTCTTCAAATAATCATACAATATTATTATAAGTATAATTATATTTTATATTACGTTCGAATATCGACGGTGCAGTTGATGTACTTATCTTTTTTCCATACCATACCCTACTTTATTTTTTTATTTTTTTTTTTTTTTAGCATAGTTGTAGTAGTATATATCATATATTAAATATACATGTATATTAATCTATATATATACATAGTTATTCACTTGTATGTGATGCGAGATAATGTATGAAACTGGAGAAATAATGAAATGGTCTTTGTCCCGGGACTGGTGCCGCCGTTTATATTCACGGAGAGGGTAACAATAATTTACAAATATATTTTTTACCGTTATCTTGTACAATGGGGTTCTATTGGTCATGGAGTTTGGTCGCGGTAAACTGTAATCAGTCCACTCCGGTCCCAATCATGGTACTTAAAATCTAAATATAGATATTTTTATGTCACAAAATAAAACGAAAAAAAAAACCTATAACTTTAGGTATATATTTATAATTTTTATATTTATACCTTTATTTAAGGTCAGGTAGTCCGTTCCAGTGTAATACTAAATGCATTATATGGTACGGTCTTGGCTAATACAGACTGAACCTTATAGACCGGTCCATAAACAGTCCAAAATGTTTTAAGATCGGACTGACAGTCCGGTTTACGGTCTAATTTATTAAATGTTATTTAATTACTGGTCCGGTGCGGTCTAAAATAATATGAAGCCGTCGGTTCGATCCAATTTTGATCTTTGATTAACGTTTAAGTGTGGTCCGATCCGATTTCGATCCACTGGTAAAATTTTTAGTCCGGTCTGGTCCTTAAAATAACGGACCGTGCAGAGGACTACTTTGTCGATTAATTTTGAATAACAATTTCCTTTTGAATACTACGTGCCTGACATAATATTAATTTACTAAATGATGCATGGGTACTAATCTAACCTAACTAGAGCCCTGCACAGATCTAACTTTTGATGTCCAAGCCCGTTTAAAATACAATTTTATATTATGATACCTGGCCCGGCCGGATTCATTTCACATAGATATACGGTCCGGCTCGGCTCAGCCCGATTAATTTCTCTTAAATATACGGTTTAGCCCAGTCCAATATGTTTAACTGTAACATATACTATATAGCCAAACCCAGTCCGAATATTTATTGAAATATATGACTTTGGTCATTTATTCAAATTATTAAAAAATCACTGCTGTACAGTGTACTCTATTAACAAGTACTCTCTAGTATCTAGTTTTTACTACTTAGTACCTAGTACTTTAAACTTAGTTACGAACTACATTGTGTAAAATAAATAGTACAGCTTAAAAAAAGTAGGTAGTCAGTCACTAGTCAGTATACTAAATTAATCCACTTTTTTAATTAAAATACAAAATAAACATAAATTTAAATGAAATAATTTATCAATTAATATCATAGAGAAGCCCTGCTTTGTCCATTTAAATAAAAATTTATTGGTTCGGGGCCTTGCCTGAATAAATAACACTGAATTGAAGGACAAGGCCCGGTCCAAACTCGGTTCAGGTGAGACCAAGCTCAGCTCGGCCCGTGCAGGGCTCTAATGGGTACCATTAGTATAAGTCGATACGGAAATTCTTTAAATGTATGCTCTCGGTCGAAAACTATTATCCATGTACAACATTGTAAATCATCATTAAAGCACCTGTGCTCGAAAAATACAATAAGGCAGTGGTTCTTAACCTTTTGTAGATCATGGACCCCTGATGAAAGATTTTTAGAAATTGCGGACCCCCTTTTTTTTATTTTAAATAATTTGACTAATTTTTTTTCGAATACTTTTTTTTTTTACAAAACATCTCATGTTATTGAAATTAAAATTATAATAATTATTTTATATAATAAATTACATTAATAGACATAACAAAACATACATATTTATAATTCTTTTTATTTCACTTAATTTTTCAGTTAACTTAAATTTAATTATTTTAGTTTTCATTTCTTTTTTTAATAATCTTAAAATTTAATTTTTATAAGCTTAATACAATGTTTGGGGCATAAGTCTTATAACATCGTATAATGATAAAATCTATCTATTATATAATAAAAATATATGAAAAAAAATAATAATAATATTAATCCAACAATATTATAATAATGCACTCATGTCACGTATAGATGTACATATGTTATGTGTTAGGGTTGCCACGGACCCCCGACTTGAGTATCGCGGATCCCTTGAGGGCCGTGGACCACAGGTTAAGAACCGCTGCAATAAGGTAATAATAAAATACAAAACAAATTAAATATAATCGAATGTCGACCTGTTACTGAGTTCAAAGCAGTTATGTAAAATGCGATATTACGTACGTTTTAAGGAAAGAAACTATCCATAGTTTTTATGTAGAATAATTAAAAAAGAACCGGTCTTGTTTAAGAATGATGAAAAAACCAAGACCCAGATTTTTTTTAAAAAACATTTTAACACTTGATAAAAAAGTATTTGAATACGAATACTAAAAGAAATTACAATAAAATGTCGTTTATTTAGGATTGTCAGTAATTAATATGAAGTATATTAGACTGACAACATAGTAGTAGTATTCTGAGTCAATATTAAATTCAGCGAACTGAGCTAAACAATAAAACAATTATGTTTGATCAAGGACACATATAGGGTGTTATACATTTTCTGTGGTTGCACACAGATGTAATTTTAGGACGCATTCAGTTCCCCATTTATAATCGTGGATTACCACCAGATAATTTTAGTAAAAAAAAAAATAACTCTGTAAAACTAATACCCAGGTATTAGGCCTCCATTATAATAGTGAAAATAAAGTGACTCTTATAAACCGGTATTACTGGTTCGACTTTTTCGACCAATATCGTGTAGAAAATGTTTTCATTAATTATGCATTAAATAATGGTGTCATGCATATTTTATATTATTACGTATAACTGAGATAACTAAATAGAAAGTTTTTCTCTATCACTTATCAATAATTTATTATATGTTTTAATAATGTTTTTTTTAATTTATATTGTATAATATTATAGATGATGAAAGCAGAGCCGGATTAAGGGGAGGGGGAGCTGAACGGGATATAGCCCAGCCCCCCCCCCCACCAAAACATTAAATATGAGATTGTAGATTTTCTACAGTTATAGATATATATTTAGAAAAATATGATTTTAACAATATTTATTTAAAGATACAGCATATTAATCATTTGAAATAATTGTCTGTGACAACCTGCATGTTATTGAATTAGATAGGTATATACAAAAAGCAATATACTGTGTTATTTTGTTTTATTTTATCGCTTCAGATAAGAGGTAATAAACTTTAAATTACAGAAACTATATCCAAATTAGTATATCATTTACAGATACAATGGCGTTTCCATAGAGGGGTTTTAGATCCTCCCCCTCCCTCCATTAACCTGAGATGGTAAATTAACTTTTACATGAAACACGGTTTTTTCTTTAACATTTTTATATTTTAGAATTTTGACTTGGAAATCATATTAATAGTTTGTATAAATACTATAAACATAATATTAGGGTCAGGGCTATTTAGAGGGAGGGGGGCAACAGGACCATTTCGCCCCAGGCCCTATCATTGAAATATTTTTTAGGGGGCCCCAATAAAGTCTTCATGTATGACAATTAATAATAAAGTCTCGATTACACTGAGCAATTTTACACGCTGCGTGTTGGTGATTAAAGTTGCACGCGTGTGAACGTGTAGCTACTTGTCCGATTACATTGAGCTATTAAATTATAAATAATATGAATAATATTCAATTCTATTATGTAAGTATGTAATGTAGTACATGAATTTAAATGAGCTTGATTGGTTAAGGTTTGGAAAAATACGTTTATAAGAATTTTGTTATTCTCAGTGAGTATTATATGTATCATTTCTTATTATTGTGGTCGGAGGGTCCCCAAATTTTATTTTGTCCCTGGCCCCGAAAAACCTTGGGACGGCCCTGATTAGGGTTGTAAATTTGAAATATTTCACATGAAATATTGAAAAATATTTTTTTTTACGTTTAAGATAGTGACTGTCAAATGTCATTTAATCATTTGATATTATATGATATCGTTTCGGTACAATATTGGGATTTCCCATTAAACGTGGTATAATCTATCAGCAGCCTATAAATAGGTAACAACCACAAATATGTTTAATATTAATAAATATATGTAGTTTAACGACAAAACCGGCGCATTATTATTGATAGCAGCTATTTTTATGATAATATTCATCTAATAATTAATAGTTCTAATTACCTGTGATTTATTTACATGTTACTAATCAATTTTTCTGAAGTGTCTTCAGTCATTTAAATTTTAATTTCCATAATTTCTTCAGTATATTAATGAGAACATTATACTTCACTAATTTATGATTTATATATATATTTTATTTTATATTTGAATATAAATACAATTCAATATAGTACTCCAATATTGAATTGTAATTTTAATCTTTCTTTAAAAACATTTCCAGATGCTGTGTGTATCACAATATTCACAATACATTTTATAAATATGTACTTAACTTTTAACTCACCTGGTACTGATATATTTTTTTGACGAGAAACTTCTGAAATAATTTGATAGCTTATGAGTAATGGGACTACTGGCAAATTATTTAAAAATTCAACTATATTTTGTAAAATTTCTTCAAGTATTTCAATGACTATTGGTCTCTTACCTCTTAAATCAATATTTATAAATTATAATAACTATAAACTAATATGGTGTTAATTGTTAATTTATATAAATTAGTTTTTATTTCTATTTAGTACAATAATACAAAAAGTATTCCATAAAAAATAAAACATAAGGCATTATATTAATTATATTTCACTTGATATTCAATTTATTAATCTACATTTTTAAATTAATTCATAAAATGTTCAAATGAAAAATAGTTAACAATAAAATTTAAGATTTTGTAGGTTTTAAAAATGGAACTTTTGGCCAGCTAAATATTGGAATCATTCCACTGTGCGCCGCGTCGGTTAGCCACCGCCAAATGCAACTCTCGCACGTGCTTGTACACGTCAATACATATCGAAAAATGAATTATTTTTTTGTTTGTATTAAAACTACTAAAAGTGGTAATAAATTTAACATGCTTTTTGAAGTTCAATCGTAATTTCGAAAAAAATTGTTGGATTCATAAGCTTCTCTACTATGCTCTTTATGAATCACTTTTTCGATTAAAAATAAAATGCGCCCTGTATAAATGCAAATTTAATGTAATTATTTCATGGGATTTTTTTTAAAAAAATACCTTCATTTTAATAACTTTAAAAATTAAAAATTGAAAATCAATTTTCTAAGAAGCTTAGAGAATTTGTCAAAGAATTCATATTAAAAAATTTAAATCAGATATTCGAAAGTACATATGTATAATTGACCACTGCTTATTGGTTTAAAAAGTATAAAAACTTAACCCGGATCGATTTCCCTTAATTGAGTATTTTATCCTTGAATTTTTATACTTGGTTTTGTGTCCTTGAAAATATTTTTCCAAGGATATTTCGTTCTAGATATTTAGTTCATTTTTGGCAATCAACGACTATTAGATTCGACTGTATTCTGCAAGACACGTCATGATAACATTCTAGTTGGAAGTAAAAATGATTTACTTAAAGTGTACTTTAGTGGACTTAAGTTCGACTTATAAAATAAAACTCATTCGCAAACGAGTTTTTTGGAGGACAATGCATCAAACACAGAATTCATAGAGGAAAATAAAATTAACCTCGTGCACCGGACCCAATGTATAGTTGAACTCAATGGCGTACTTACGAGAAGGTGGGTGTATGGTGTTTTCTCCTTAATATTAAAATACATTGGTTATAATTGCAGATACGTAAATAATAATAAATTATTATTGGGTGTACGTCGAGTGGATTTTATTTTATGAAATATTATAAATTATAATAAACTAATTAATAATGTCTAATATAAATTTCAAATAAAATAAAAGTGACGTTTAGTTTAACTAATAACTTGTATCATAAATGTACTTTAAAGCCCTCCCCAAAAAAAATCGTAACTACGCCACTGATTGCACTACTATAAATAGTGATATCGTGATCAAAGGTGTGCTGGGTACAGCTCGTTGACGCTCGTGTTAATGTTGTATCCATCATAATAGTGTATTAATCTTATGTATGTGTGTGTGTGTGTTCGTGCGTGCGTGCGTGCGTGTGTGTGCGTATGTGTGTGTGTGTGTTCGTGCGTGCGTGCGTGCGTGTGTGTGCGTATGTGTGTGTGTGTGCGCCCGCGTACGTATTCATATACGTAGAGAGAGTGCGGGAGAAAGAATGAGAGAAAGAGAGTTAAAGGGGATGAATCGAAGGTTACAAACTACAGTTTTATTTTTCTGTGTAATTTTGTGAAAATTTTTTGTTTGTACGCCGATAGACGACACACATAATACATTTTGTATCGCAATTTTAGCATCGACCGTTGTATTCGAACACCGTAATTGATCAAATACCACATTTATTTTTTTTCAGTTTTCCTATGGACGTTCTTTTAGTTTCCGTAGTTCCGAATATTATGGTTTCTGTTTCGCACACCATAAATATAACTTTAACTGTTACTGTCGAAGCGTTTTTCTTTAAAACTAAAGGTAAAAAACAAAAGAGAAAATTGACTTAAGATTGGCTACTGAAAATATCTGAAAACTGTAAGGTTTTAGCTCGAACACCGAATATAAGGGCACACTTATTTAGTTTTCTACATTTCGAACACCGAATATGGACTAATAAAAATGCTACGTGTGGTCTTGATGGCAAATAAGCGGTAGATGTACGAAAAAATATCACCCTAACCGACTAAAATCGGAGAAGAGAGGGAAAAGGTTCATAAAAAAATAAAATGAGTAACAGGAAAGGAACGTTCACACAAATAATGATTATTTACATGACGAGGGGTGAAAATCGTCCTTCGAGTGTACGTCTTTGACGCTATTGGTAAATGCGTGCACCGCGCACCCCACCGCAACGACACGACCAGACCCACCGACCCCTCACATCATTGTCACGCCGACTGCAATACGTGCATTTCGACCTTACCAACTGACGCCGTTCGACCCGACACCACCACCGGTCACGTCTTAGTCGTTTCTCGTTCTCGTTTAACATTCTCGTCGCTGCGGAAGGTCGTGCGTGCTCCAACCGTTTTATCCGTTCATCGCCGAAATCGTCATTCCCAGATACTGCCCGGTTCCATCACGATCGCATTCCAACATCAACCCAACACGAAACGAACGTACGTTAAGGTAACATCGTTATTATTCATACTATCAATTAATAAATCTAAATAAAAGTTTCTGATGTCTTCGATCTTCTGTCCGTTTTCGAACTTTGGAAAACACCGGAAGCAAATCGTGTTTACAGCGGGTAAACATCCCACCCCACCCACCGGGCATGTACTTCCTCCGGGACTTGAACAAACTTCTAACGCACTTCCTAATTTCGTGATCAATCTATCATCACTAGGCCATCATGTGGAAGAACCAGCCATTTTGTTTCTGAACATAATTTTACAAACGTGTCGTACACTTTAATTCTCAAAACTACACCGATATAAAAACTTTAGTAAAACGTTGAAATATTGTAATTTATTGATAGCTTTTAGTAATTACATTTTAAACACTAATTTTTTAATCTAAAAAATATGGGCGTGTATCTCATACATAAACTCTAATACCATTAAATGAATTTGAAATTAAGCGTGTGACGTCATAGAGCCGTTGAACAACGGCATACCTTTAGCCGTGGCGTATGTTTTAAGGTCTGGTCGCACCAGGGCGGTTTCAGCCACGTGTTTGCAATGGTGTTTTATTTCGCTGTGCGGTGTGTACGTACTAGCGCGATAAAATCGCGGACGTTTATGTTTATTTGGAAATTAGATACAACTAAAATCAGTCGTATTTTAGAAATATTCATAGTTTTATTACTCACCTAAGTTTTTCCCAGTTAGATTTTTTTATTTAACCGCCGTAGTGTTCCCACACCCTTTTAGGGTAATGTCAAGAATTGCAATCGTTTAAGGCTCAGTCAATCAGTACGCGGGCCGCCCGCACTACCGACCGCCACGGTCTGTGATTCCAAACATTGCGTGGGTAGTTACGTGGTTAGACTCAGTCTACGTGTGTACTAGTAGTAGAAGGTAGTAGAAGTATGCGGTATTTTCGTTTAATTTAAAAAAAATCGTGTAAAATAAATAAACGCGTTCTGTTTGACTAAGCCTTTAAAGGGAACTGCAATACTACAATGTCTAAGTAGTTATAAACCGGTTTATACTTCAAGTCGCTACGGTCGTATTTTATTTTATGTGAATACATAAATCCTCTCATCCGCAACATGTCTTCTATATCTTTCTCTGCAAATGGTAATCATCGTCTAAAAAGAAATTGGTCTAGAGCAACAATTCCTAAAATTGTTCACGCAGCCTTTTTATGAGCGTTATTTTCTCGTGTAGCCTCAAGAAATATTTAATATTAAGTTTTCTTTACCGGTGATCTATGAAGCATATTATACATGCTATATATACACGAAGAAACTCAAAATGAGATAATGTATATTTAACATTATATTTACATACAATAGACCTGGACGTGTTATAATAATTTATAAGAAAAAATGCCGTAATTCGAAAAAAATAAAATAAAAATGAAATAACACTATCTTACGTTTAACATAACAGTTTCATGCGTTTTTCTTAAGTAAAAATACCGTAACTATATATATTTATTCAGATATAAGACCTTAAAAGAAAATTATATTGTCGCAATTATAATTAAATGTTATCGATACTTATCAAAAACGCCGTAAACACAACTTGCTTAGAAAGATTGCCGTCTCATATCATATATGGCAGTTTTACTAAGCACTTACTAGAGTTTTGTTGAGAGATATTGTATCAATAAAATCTGAACGAGGGAAATATGTTTTGTTTACTAAATCTCAATTTAATGATGAAAAATACACAACATTGGATTTTCTCCAACAAAAAGAGAATGCTTATGCCATCTTCACTTACAGAAGATTGTGAAATTTCTAAAGAAAAACGTGATGGTATACTTTCGAATTTACATCAAATACTTCCAGGTAATAGAAAACAATTTTGGGAAAACATAATGATACACAACAATTAATAATGAGTAGTTGTAAACAGTAATGCTTAAAATGTGATAAAAAAATATAGTAGTTAATTTTTATTTTAAGATGATTACATGACGTGTAATTAAATTATAATTGGTGATTATTATTAAAATAAGTTGTCAATATTTTATATAAAATATAAATACCTAATAATGAATATAAATAATATAATACGGAATTATTTCTTCGATTATTAGTGTTCAGTACATTTTCGTATGCTAGGTAAAAAAGCTGTAACTGGAATTACGATGTTTTTGCTTAGTAAACAATTATAAATAGTTGATAGCGTTTTTAGTATAAATATCAAAATCAGAATATCTCGATGAAATAAAATTGAATAGTTCCATTGCATTCATCAGGTATTTTACTACTATAAATTATGTATTTTACTTTGAAAAATACTATATTTATGAAAATATAACAACCAATAATTACAAAACATAAAAATTAATTTTACTCAAAGTGGCATGTAGAAAACTTACGGCATTTTTGCTTAACAATGCAGTATATACGTACGTATTTTATTAAATTATTGCCAATGTAATCGACAATTTAACGTAAATAAAATTGATATAAAATAAAAATACGTAGATAAATTTGAAAAATCAGATTATAAGTTACGTTTTAAAATGTAGAAAAAAATATTATATGATTATAATTATAACTTAAAAGCCTGTTCTTAGTGGAAGTCCTCGTTCAAACCGCGAATCAATCATTTCCGTTAATAAATTTTCGACGTAAAATGTTATTTATTTTGCTTCTAAATCCGTCAAAAACTCATCATTCCACTCAATTTTGGATTACTTATTTTATATTCTATAAAAATATATAAAATAATAGCTATCTTATGCTTTTAGCTATACCATAAATGAAATACGAATGAGCAACTGTCTATTTGTAATATTTCATTTTCATTTATTTACAAATTATCTATATTTTATTTTTGAGAATTTAATATTTATAGGCTTTTGGGTTAGGACAATATACAGCCCAGTTTCAATGGGCGGTACTGGTTTGCGCACAAATACTAAAAAGACAAATTGGGCACAAAACTACCACTCGTTTGAGAACAGTCGAGTCGTAATCATACACATGGTTTGCGCACAGTTACCTTTTAGACTTTAATAGCTTAATACCTTGCGTATTAATATTTCTTTATTATTAAATTACTTACATACATTATTCTTCCCCCTTAACAGACTTAGGACTATCTATGAATGTATTCATAGGTGTGGTTAAAAATGTATGTTAATTGCTTATTAATAATTGTAATAAATAATATCTAATACTTGTTCAAGTTAAAAATACATGTTAATTTTAATTTTAATATAATATGATTGGTATATACACGTATAGGATAATATATACGTGTCTATTATTTTTGCAATAAAAGTTTCCCATTATTTGAATGTATTTAATTTGGTCTATTTCGCCAGATGTATATTTTGTCCATAAGTTTATGCGATGTTTAACTGATTCTATTGACTCCTTACAGCGATAGTTATTTATATTTTTGTTGATTGATGTTATTTTTAATTCTGTTTCGCTTTGTATTTTAAGAATTACGCTTATTACCTGGTGTATGTGGGGATGTGGAGTGTAAAATTGTTGGTTAAAATGTCTATGAAATGCTTCTACACCATTTGTAGTTCGAGGTTCGTCTTTTGGATATCCTTTTGGGTTTTATACCGGGCAACTAGCCGATACAAGAGTGACAAAAATATAATTATTTTCGTGTGTGCAAACCAGTTGCACATTTAATATAACCGTGTGCGCAAACGAGTTTCGATTTTTTAGGTAAAAATTATGAATTGTGCACAAACAAGTTGCAGCCGTTTCAATACAATACAATAATATAATTTTTTTTTTTTTTTTTTTTTTTTATTAAAGGAAAATATAAAATATACGGTGTGATTACAATACAGGAACTTCAAATAGTGGCAACGCGGCATTGATTAAAGGAAGGGGGGCACTTTCTCACGCACATAATGAAGGATATAAAACTATTAAAACTTACTCTGAGGTTATGACAGGAAATCAAAATGCTAATTAAGAAATAACATCTTTTTAAAATTATTTTAAATATGCACCGATAACAAGACGTTGAGCGTACTTTTTCATTATAGAAACATATTTTAAGTAACAGACAATACAATTCTTAAGAATACAATTCAGAGATATATATAATTATACATTTTAATTCAGATAAATGATATATTTTGTAAATATTATATTTATGCCAATAATATTATTTAAGTATATAATAAATTATTGTATATTTGATATCATTTTACTATGTAATTTTAATGTATTTTTCATTGCAATTTTAACATCATCGCGAGTTGGATACGCGCAAACGATACTGTAATAATTTAGAATAACAAATACAATATATATATATATATAAACAAATAACTGACCCGATAGACGTTGTTTTGTTATATAAATTATTTCTAGAGAATATTTTGCTAGAAAAAAATAACTAATTTAATATAGGTGTGTAAGGATGTGGTATATAAGTGGAAGAGGTATGGATTGCTGTGAACGGTGACGGAATATAAAAATGAAAAAACATAAAACATTTATTTTTTTAATAATTTATTAGAATTGATCCTTTAAAATTATACACATCGCTAATTATGATAAAATTAGTAAAAACAATATCAATCCCTTAATTCAACCGAGTGAATAATATTTTTTGTCATCCCATCTTTCGCCAACACAAACTAACAGGATGGTTCGAGAACGCGCCACGTAAAATTGTCCGTGTGTAAAACATAATGTGTTCAAATCTAAGCCACAGACAGACACCGTTTGTCCTTGAGACTTATTGATAGTCATTGCAAATGCAAATCTAATTGGAAATTGAAGACGTTTAAATTTAATTGGCACATCTGTGGGTATAATAGGGATTCACGGTAATAATATATTTTCATCTCGGAATTTGCCATTTAAAATTATGGCTTCGATAAAATTTTTCATTCATTTTTTAATAACTAATCGCGTGCCGTTGCACAACCGTGGTAGGTTCAAATTACGAAGCAAAATAACCGGAGATCCCACCTTCAGTTGTAAATTATGCGTTGGCTTATCTGGTAAATTCAATGAGTTTAAAAACTCTGTAGGATAATTTACAGCTTCAGGAGCATCGCAAACTGTATCAATAGATTTGTATGACACCTGGTAACAAATGTTCTACAAAGTGGCTATTTTTGAAATTTTTTAAAATATTTTTTGGTGGTTTTGAATTTTGGATTTTTTTTAACCGTGGTTAGTCACATATTATGTTAAAAAAGACGGAACTTCAATATCTGCATTATATTAGGAGTAGATAATAACTACTGATTTTCCAATTAATTAACATACTGTATAATGGAATCATGCCGTGTCATTTGGTAAAATATAAATAATAACTACTATTTAAGTAAATAATGATATATTATCGTAATAATGTTGTTTTGCCTGTTGAGCGTGCATAATCAACAGAATGCGTAATTTTGCATCACACGCTCAGTGTCTTTAAATACAATTATTATTTATTAAATATTAAATTAAGAACTTAATTTTCATATCTATAATGGTTAGGTTAGATTAGTTACAATATACTATTTAAATTTAAATAAATATATAAATATGCATGAGTTAGTACCTCTCGTATCAACTGTATTTACACATATTTATAATTTGGTCCATTCTTATAAAATTGTTTAGTTTCACTTGCATATGCATGATATGTTTATTATATGATAGTTAAATCAGCAATGTATATTAATTAAAAATATACACATTATCAATATTATCTCTTTTGTCATATCTTAAAAAACTGTTAATTTTTTCCTTATTTTTTGCCTTTAAAATATTTTTCAGATTTCATAATAAGGTTCAACGAAAATTGCATCAACATCTTTTTCACTTGAAGGTTCAAGGCCTAATATAAATTATTCATATTCATCCAGCAGTAAAAAATCGGAAACCCAAAATGAATCAGAATATGAAAAATATTACTAATCATAGTCAGAAAATCAAGTCTGATCGTGTTAATAAATTGCCATCTAAATCAAAGTAAAATCAATGATTATTAAATTTAATTTATTAATTAAATGTATGTATATAAATTAATAAATATAAACAATTAACTTAAATTATACACATATGTATTCAAAACATCTATTTGTGTAAAAATGAACTTATTTCAACATGAGTATTCATTTTTACAATAAGTACTTCTTGTATAGTGATTAATAGGGCTGGGATTTGTATGTAAATACATATTTTTAGTGAAACACGATAAATTAATTATTGCAAATGATAAATTCGTTTCAATATTTTACATTTATATTTATATAATGAAAATGTTAGAAATCAGCTATAGTAGCTCATTCGTATTTGATTTATAGTACAGCTTAAATATATAAAAATAAAACATAAATTCTGTGATATTTACATTATGTAGAACGTCTTGCCAAAAAAAAACGTCGCAGAAAATATCTGATAAAAAAACATCGAGAAAATTTTAATGCACTTAAAAAATGGCGAGAAAATCGTACAACTGACATGGTAAATCAAAATAGCTATATATTAATTATGATGTGTATATGATAACTATTTTTAATTTATTAAATATTTAATATAAATTAAATTTTTCCTAGTACATAATTTTTATTTTATACAACATATTTTTTATTTTATACTTCATATTTTGGCAATTTTAATTACATATATATGTATATATTTTTGGTTTTTTATTACATATAAACCCCAGCCCTAGTGATTAATAAGTTAAAATTAACATAACTTAAAAAAAAAATTTAATATAATGTTATCTCGAACCGTAATACTTTTCCATACACTAATTAATATAAATATATTTATTGTTTTAAATAATAATAAATAAGAATTATAATAATAATATGTATTGATAAGTATATACTATATTTATTATAATAATTATCGACATTTTATTTAAGTATTTAATCAAATTTAATAATTAATGCGTTTGAAATATTTTTCAGAGGTTCACAAGATTTTCAACGCAATTATCCAAGGTAAATACTTTTGTTTTACTTTGTAAAATACTTATATATTATATTAATATATTTTATCGTATCCAACAGTATAAAATGTATATACTACTTAAATATTAAATAATTATTTTGAATATTTAGGAGAACTAGATTAACAAATGTTCCTCAAATCATTAAAGTCCAAATCCCACTGTCGAAAAATTTGAAAACAAGTACGGATCAGATAAACAATTTGCAATACAACTTTACATTACTAAACTTAACGTGTATTAGAATGTTTTAGTTCAAGTAGTGGTATTAAAATAGAATACCCATCAGGATCAGATGCTGTTGTGACACCCAGAGTATCCGTCAAATCTAGTCGATCTAAGTATATCCACGATGTAGAAGATCAAACCTCAACCCTGCAACCTCCGTTGTCAGAATTTGATAAAAAATTAGTAAAATCTGAAGCCCAGTAAGTTTATAATACACAATCTTTAGTGTAGGCTCAATGGGGGGGGGGGGGGGTTGACAGTGTGGTCGAACCGGGTCCTTCACATTAAGTATTATAAATATCACTTTATCCAAAAATAATCTGATATCTATATTGTTACCGGAAATGGGTTATTTATTGTTATTATCAACGACTGTACCAAAGAACTTAAAGCTTATAAAATAATATAAAAATAAATAAAATAAAATAAATATATGTGGGACCCCGCAAATGTCTACACCGGCAAGTTGCCCCCTATCATGTGAAAATGTATATGGTACCTATTTTAATCTTTAATTTCAACATTATATTTAGTAGGTACCTATATTCAGACCTGATGAGAAGAGGGCACGAAAGGGATAATACCCCATGGGCGCAGAACTTTTGAGAGGGCCTGGAAATTAGGAACTAAAAAATTATTAAAAATTACACAAAATTAATGATAATAATTGAATGAATACTGCAAAAAAAAATTAAGATATATCCCCCGGCTCCGGGTTTCTCACTCCACGGTCCTGCTTATATTGCTGTATAACTAATAAAATAATAATAAATTAATAAACAATAAAATATTGTTGACAATTCGATACTAAAATTTAGTATTTATAACAGGGAAAAATGTGTATAAATAAGTTAAAATAGAAAAATATGTCAAACGAGTCGGTAAAGCACGATTCCGTACGTTTTACCATTTTTGGGTACACGATTCCGTACGATTTCTAACAAACAATGGATTATGAAATGATCCCAAAAACAACACGATTCCGTACGATTTTCCATGCAACGTTGCCATTTATTATTTATTATTATCAATTAATTTTTGTCATTTAAAAATAAAAAAATATAAATATTTAAAATATATAATTTCTAAATGGTTTAATAATTATAATTTGATACCTTGGTAATTAATACAAATACTTGATAAATATTTTATTATATTTCTATGATTTAAAAATTTGTTATGTTCGGTTATTGTGTAATATAATCGCTGTTTGTCGGCTAAGGCCATTTGATTCAAACGTCCTTTAGACACAGATCTTATTTTCGTGCAATTCTTTTCTTATGTTTCCTTTAGAACTGCTATAACCAAATGAACTGAAGGGTGTGGACTATGAAACTGGGCATTATATGTTCTATGGAAACTCTCATATCCATTTGTTGTACTTTAAAATATAAAGTAAAACAAATAAATAAATAAAAACAAAACGTTTATATAAGATTAATATAGTTATATGATAAAACTGGTCGACCGGTATATCGCAGACGATTACAGAGTCGATCATGTTAGAATTTATTTTTAAGCCACGCGCACAAAAATTAATCGTGGTGGTTATGAACAAATTGGCGATACGAATTATCTGTATATTTTTTATCTTTTATTCTAGTTTAAAATACTTTATGTATGTTTATATACACTTTAAGCAAGTATGTTTCTTAATAATTATAATTATTTAATAATAAGAAAACATTTTCCAAGAAAGTCATATATAGTTATATATTATTATACATACCGAGGATTTTCCGATGGCTCTTGAGCCCAAATTTTCGGTGGAAATAAACAGTGATCTTTTACGTATATTTTCAACATATAATCAGAAAATAAAAATCCTATATCTAGGTTAGGACATATAAATACAAGTTCAATGAATGCATTTTCGATTTCATGTGGTGATAGAAATGGCAACTCGAAAAATAGCTTTAACCATTTTCCTAACTTGTCGTCATTTGTATATGCTGTTCGGAGTCGCTGTTCAGAATTTATCTGTAAAGTTAATAATCTGTAACGTCGAATATTACGATTTTATAAAGAAATAATACATTTTAAGCATATTTACTTTTCGCCACCAACACTGCCCTAAATGAAATCGACATGCTTGAATTTCTACATTTGGGAACACCTCTCTACATTCTTCATGAGCACTTATCTCAAAGTCTAAATGTAACTTTTGAATAAAAAGTCTTTTGAAAATTAATTTTTCACTTAATTCTTGAAGAAATAACCATATGTCAATGTAGGTTTGTTTAGATTTATGAGGCAAGAAAAAATAAACCACGGGTATATAAAATCCATTTTGTAAACAATTAATTGTATAGAGCTGAATATAATGTTTTGGCGCGTAATTAAAAGTACCATCGGCAAAAAAATCTGATGAATTAATCATACATCTTAGATTTTGTTCTGTAGTTATACAAACGAATAATTTGTTATTAGGTACAAAAATAAATTGTTCACCTTTAAATTTAACTGCATCATTATTGTGCATACTTTTGAGTTGTTCAATTGATCAATTAAAGATTTTGGAAAAGCCAGGTATATTTGTCGTCGTTTGTCATACATGGCTTTTCTGATTGACCGTATATCGCTATGTTCAATTTCTTCTGAATTTACGCTTTTTAAGAGTTCTGTCCGAATTATTTTAATAGGTCGGATAGAAATAGATCCACTTGCCTTGCGTTTACAGTTTTCTCTCAGTACATGTCTTTCGACACTTTGGACTGGATTTTCACAGTGATTATGTTCATTTGATGTTTGATGAATTAAATTTCCATTTGTCACAATGCCTAGCATAACACAATTTTTGTATACATAACCATTTTTTTAAACCATCTTTTCGTGTTCGTATAAGCCAATATTTATGGAAATTAAATAATACCAGTGGTTTTCCTTTTTCCGAAGTTATAAATTTAACTTCATTTTCCATGTTCACTATTTTTTATATTTTTATAAAGCACCGCACTTTACGTAAAACGATGTGGTTATCGACTGGCATGCGACGACTAGGGAAAATAAACATTGATAACTATCTTAATTTATTATTAAGATATTATGTAGATTATCAGTAGTTTTGGTTTTGATGTACCTACATACACGAATATATTCTTTTGTTACTGATAAACTATTTTGTAATGATTAATAACCATATCAAATCTAATAGCGTTATTGCGATTTACTTTGAGACGATTTCGATGTCGACCGATACTGTATAATATCTACAACGTATAATACGTATATGTGTTATACAAATTAATAGATTACATTTATAATTACATAATTTTTTAACTTATTTAGAAATCTGACAACGTTACACTAAAATCTTAGGTACAAAACGTACGGAATTGTATACTTTAAAATGTGTACGATTCCGTACGCTGATAAGGACCGTACGGAATCGTGTTCCACCCAAACGAGTACTAAGCGTCAACAAAAAAAATGTTCGGTTCCAGGGAAAAATAATTTTCCTATAAAATAATCTGCCGCGAGTCCAACCAAATCTCCCGCCAACGATGATAACTGCAATTGTATTTAAGATTATTAAGTAATTTTAATTGAATAGTATTTAATGATCATAATTAATTTATGATAAATTTTAAAATGCATTATTTTTAGAAAGTATGCATATGTCTCAAGTTTATAAATTAATAATTTATATGTAGAAAAAAATAAATAAAATGTGTATTCTGGGCTATTAAGATGTATGTATTTTACGACCGGTTTTAAATTAAAAATTCCTTGACTGGCAATTAACAAAGTCAAAAAATCGCAACTAAATATCAAAAAATAAACGAAGGAATACATTGAGAGAAATTTATCGTTTTACATAGAAATAATTAATTTTAACTAGAGATATAATTTAAAACTAGTTATTGATTGTAATTTGCGAGTTATATGTATTTTTGATATTTTATACTACAATAGTTAACAACTGAACCGGATTTAGGGGAGGACTAAGTGGGCTACAACTCAAGGGCCCTCACAAATTCGGTACTTTCACAAATGTATGATATTTTAGTAAGAATACAGAAAATATTTAATTTTTTTTATTATATTTATATTATTTATGTTTTTACATATTTAATTGAATAATATTGAACTTTATATAGACGTTTGAAATTTTAATAATAATAATATATGTATTTACACGTAATGACAATGAACGGTGTTTTAGAATCTAGAGAAAAGTTCATTGCATTTAATTGTAATTATTTGACATTATCATTTTTATTGTTCATTATTGAATTACTTATACTTATACTGTTTAAGCGATTCATATTTATATAAAGCAAAGACTTATATTACGATGAAATTACTTAGACTTTTTTTATTGTTTTTATAATTATTTATTATTAAATAAGTAGTTAAATGTTACTATACTAAAAATGATATTAAATGTCATTAATAAATACAAAAATGTATTTACTTGTTTATATATAAAGAGCCCCCCCCCCCCCCCAATGCATTACGACCCGGAGCAACCACATACCTAAATCCTCCCTTGGTTAATAATTTTATTTTGTAATCTGTGTTTTATCTTATGTTAAAAACATTTTTGAAATTTTTTAATAATATTTAAATTGAAATTATTTCCATGGGCTATATTATAGATAATATTGAGCTCGTGTTGATTACTATAAATATATAATGGAATACGTTGAAGTCTATAAAATATTAAACTAATAAATTATATTTTATGAGAATAAAGGTGATTAGAATCATGTGATAACATCAGTAACATCAGTTTATGTATGTTTCTTGTACATAGTAAATTCAATTTTTTTTTATTTACTATGGAAACTGTTATATCTAATAAATTACATTTATTAGCATTATTATTATCATAAAATTTTAATTAGTCAAAGTAAAAACTGATGAGTGATGACCTAACCTAAAATTTCTTCTGGTCTATTTGAACCTAAAAATATAATGATAGAGAATAAAATTATCACATCAATAATATGCTTTTATACATGGACTGTATATTTTATTGTTAATATTATTATTTTTTTGATAATTTTGCATGTACATTGTTGATAAAGAGCACTTAAATGTCTACCCAATAGCTACTAATCCTTCTTTTTGCGAATACAATTTATTATTATATTGTAATTAGTTTTGATTAATAATTAAATTTATTGACTGAATAATATTTTGTATTTCGTTTGTAATGAATTTATTATTGTTTATTATTAAGTTAATGTTTTTGAATATTTTCTGTCAATATTAACTATTTACTAATTTTTGTTTTATTTTATTATTTTATTCTTGTATATATCTTTCTTTAGTTCTCATGGGAATGCTAATGACATTTCAAGTACCTGCCACAAGAAAGCAGGGTATTCGGCAGCTTATGAGGATTTAGTGATTTATGCTTGGTAAATTAAAAAAATTAAATCTTCACAGAACTCAAATTATTAATTAATTTTTGTTCGATTTATTTTGTTAATCACATGAATATGTCATGAATTTTTTTTCTTGCTTTTAATTGAAATAAATGATCTATATCTCGTTTTAGTTCTCCTGTGTGTTAAAAAGTTTCCCATTTTTTTACAATTAAATATCAATATATTTTGTTCTTTTAGCGAGCGTCATAGAAATCGTTCATTGTCACCATTTGGTTCAGAAACCCAAGAGTCACTGGGCTCTATTGATCTCACTTTAACACCTACATCGTCACCCGACCGATCTAGAAGTCGTTCTAGATCCACTGAACATAGTACAGCTGAATCTACTAAATTTGCAGAGTTAGCAGATTTTAAGGATTTATTGACTGTAGCCAAGTAAATAAATGATAAAAAATCTTTACCTTACCTAAGAGTATCAATTCATTTTTAATCAAAAAAATGTTGTTTATTTATCTATGTCCCATTCAAACAGACGTTACCATTTTATCAGACATTATCAAACACGTTCCAAAACAGCCGCTGAGAAATTGATGTTAGAATCAGCCACAAAAAAACGAGTTGGGAGCAAATAAAAGAAAAAAATAAGAACCGTGGTCGAAGGAAGGTGGCATAAAATGCGTTGGCAACATCCCACATAGCAAATTAATATTTTTAAGACATAAAATATAGTCGTATATATAATATGATTTAATATTTAATTTTTTTTATTTTGCTTTATTTTATTTATTTTTATATTATAATATTTGATATTTTATTATAATTTTAAGACGAAATACATACAATAGAATTTTTTATTTACTCAAAATATGTTTCGATCATTCAAGTAAAATATTAAGATATTCCAAAAATATATTTTGGCAGAAGTACTAATGTTTTTAAAGTGTTAACCTATTTATTTTCAAAATATTGCAGTAAATATTTTTGAATCATTCAATGTAATACATCTAAAGAACATCGGAGTTATATATTTTCAAAATGTTTAATTCAAGATAATTTTACACTATTTTCTTGTATACTTGGACAATATTTGTAAAGATAATAATAACATTCAAACATTTAGACAAATTATTGATAATATCAATAGTATAATAATGTAATATTAAATAATAAAGTTTATATGAAGTACTTGATATATTGATGTATATATAATCTCAATTACAATTATATATAGTATCCATTTAGATAAAAAAAAAAACAATACATAAATAAAATAATTACATTTTAAACTTAAGAATTTAGTTTTAAAATTGTGTTACAAACTATATAATACATTTTCTATTCAAAAGCAAAATAATAAAAATTGTTAGTGTAAATATTTAAAAAAAAATTTAATTTTATCTGTAACAGTATTTTGTAAAGTACCTATATTATTGTATTAAACAAATATTATACAAACTTATAAATTATATAATATTCATAACTGTCTATAATATCAGTAAACATTTTTTCTCTATATATATTTTGTTTTTTTTTTTTTTTTTTATTAATTTTAATTTTGATTTAGCTGATGCTTGTACCATAAACGTTTTAAAATGTTTTTTCGATTTCACTGTCGGAAGTATTCTGATATAAGGGAACTTTTCTCACTGCCACTTAAATATAAATAATATAATTATATAATATCCTAAACTAAAATTACAATACATAATATTGACTTAAAGGTAATAATAATTATAGTAAAAACTTACGCAGCACAATTCCCTCTACAAACAAATCCAAAGAGACCAAGACACAATAAAATATATCATTAAAAAGAAAAGCACACACAACCACATTGGACACAAGACCATTTTCAACAACCAAATCACATCACCAGTAAATACAGAACAGAATAAATCATCCAAGATACGAGACATATTTAACACATTACAACAATTAATGAATATTCACACCTCAGTCAGAAATAAAATTACGTTTCAAGTCACACCACCTTGGAAATGGAAACTGAAATTAAACGCGGAACTTCTCGACCTCAATAAAAACGCAAAAAATATTACAATAATCACCTATCTTTTCAAAAATACGATTCAGCACTCATTTTTCAACTTTACAAAAATATACATCGAAGTATCAAAATTTTAGCATGGAGTAAGTTTTTCCGTAATAAAAGATGACACAATTATTCAACATAAGCCTCCAATAATAACCAGTATTTTCTCTACCGAAAACTATGCCGTCTACGAAGGGATAAGACTAGCAAACACGCTAGAATCAAATGATATATGTAATTATAATCTGCGACTCTTTTAGCACCTTACTAGCTCTTAAAAACGCATCCACCAAAAACGAAATAACCATAAATATCCAAACAAAATTAATCGAAACAAAAAAAAATATATAATTTATGTGGGTCCTTTCCCACACTGGCATTACAGGAAATAAAAGAACTGACAAATATAGGAATCAATTATAATTGTATGCTTTAATATAATTTATTAAACTAGAAAAATATTTATATTAAAAGGCGGCAATTTGTTTAGTGCTTAAAGCGGCATAATGGTTAAATCCGGCTCTGGATACAAATGTATAGGTTGGTTTGATTGATGGGAAATTACTAGAGCCCCATTTCTATGACGGAACTTTAACGGAAAGAAAATTCTTAGTTTTTTATTTGTTATAAACTTACCGACGTGGAGAGGGCTAGCCTTGTCATGAGCATATAATATTTTACTATTTGTGGTAGGCATGGGCGTAGCGAGGGTGGGACAGAGGGGGCACTTGCCCCCTTGCGCCTCATACTGAATTCTATTTGTTTATACCAAACGTATAAGTTTTACATTAAGGGGATTCGATCCGGATTACGTTTTCTATCAAAATATACCTATATTCTGTCAATTGTACTGAACTGCCCAATGATCGGATAAGACTCATACAAACATATTTGAATTCGCCATGAAGTTGACTTGAAAACGATTTTTTTACTTTTTTGATTTATTATTTTTATACCCTTAAAAAATTAATTTTAAAATCTAAAATAATAATAAATTTATAATGTAAATAATATAAAATTGATAAAATAATTTGAAAATGTAAGGGGGGGAGTTCAAGGGTTTGTAACTGCCTCCCGAAATTTTCTCCTATGTCTAGGTTAAAATTTATAACCTATAATGTATTTAATTATAAGATCAATTCTTATGTACACTTTAAATGAAAATTTGAAATTTTTATTGATAGCTTATATCACCCATTTGCAATAGAATGTATAATTCAAAAGATGTCTACTTTTTATGAGATATTAATATATATATATATAATATAATGTTTTATTAGCTTATTTTCGTAGTATGTCGCTATACACATATACTCATATTATCTATCTATTTGTGGCTTGACCGAGGACTTCCATTCACAACAGGCTTATAACTTATATTTATAATCTTATATACATTTAATTAAATTTTAAAACATAAATGATAATCTAATTTTTAATTTTATTATTGATGACTTTATTTATGATAAAATTTCGATTACGTCGGCAATAGTATTAGTAGTAAAATACGAACTTTTATTGGAAAACTGGTTCTGTCGCCGCGCCGATGCATTGGTGATTAGCAACACGAGATTAATATGGCCCGGCATGGCATATTGAAAGAGGGTATAGAGCGGGGTAATTACACACACTAGTGATCATTCACTTCACACACACTCTCATGGCGTTCACGCACTCGTGTGACAAATTGCCTATATTCAACCCCTTAAAAACTACACGGATCGAATCCCCTTAAAATCAAAAATTAAATAAGATAAGTCTAAAAATAATTTAGTGGGACCGAGTGTTATCTACACGTGTAATCATTTTAACGTTTTATGTGTTATCCAATGGTCTATCTGTAGATTATTTGAATTACGAGTTTAATACTAATCGCTTTATGCCCCCCCCCCGATTCAAATCTTAGCTATGCCCATGGTGGTAGGTATACATTCACTTAGGTATACTTTTGGAGATAGAACCATTAGTCAACTTCTGAAAAGTTAACTCTTTAGAATAATCTCTTTTTTGTGGAAAATGGAGACCCAGGAAAGAGCTATAATATAAATATAAGAGTCTATATAAGAATATAAGTCACTTTTATCGTTTTTAAAATAAATATAAAATAAACACAACTGTGCTTCAATAAGGACAATATACAACATGAAATATGTATAATAAATGTTTGTAAAATATTGATACCGTTGTTTTAAACATTGGTCTGTAATGAACACTATATAAATGGAAATAAACACCCATAATGTTATAATCTATAATTCAACAATTAAACCTGTTATATAAGTAGGTAAATTGCAATGTTAACACGCTAGTTAAAAATAAAATGTCAATCAGCTCTATGATCTATATGACTTCCGGAAAATTATTCTTAATGACACAATTAATTCGACGTCAATCCAACGACAAAGTTTGAAAAAACGAGATTATTAAACAAATAAATATTTTCAAAAACATTTTAATACTTAGGTACCTGGTTAAAAATAAAATATAGATATTTCCTATATGATTTTAATTAAAATAAATTGGCAGTACCCAACGGTGAATTTGTTTATTCATTTAATACAATCCATTCAAAGTGGACACGGAAAAATCCACTAAAAAAATATTTAATATGAATACAAAACAATGTTTCGCAAATAATCGCGATTAATATTTTAAAAGTTCACAAGATAAAAAATAAAAAGTCAAATGCGAACGGAAATACGAGTAAAATGAAACAAATATCGAATGAAAACGCTGGTGTAGTGATAGAAATTTAAAATATGTTACTGCATGTAACCTAATCCACTCGCAACGTGACTGCTTAAGAATACGAACTTCCAGGAATGGACAGATTTAAATATCTAGAAATGATAGCAATAGAAGAATGGTCGGTGTCCGGAAGTTCAAGTCTAATCGAAAGTGTATTAGGACCCATGGCGTCTACCACGATTCTACAAAAGATTGGAAGAGCGGTGATCCGAACCCAGCATATGTGATTGACTCGGAGAAAAAGAACCGTGATCATCTAATTAGCGGTGAAATCAACGAAAAGGGAAAATCTGACGAAGAAAAATAAAATATAATCAATGGACAATAATCTTCTAGGAACTACGTCCGAACGAGGAGATAGTGAGCGACAGAGAACATGCATGGGAGGTTGAATAATTTAATATTTCAATTATTGTTAAATTATTGTGGTAGGAATGATGCCTCAATCGCATATCTTTATAATCAAGATTTGCCGAGTAAACATGTCATTATGAAATAATTTCAACAACTACCATTCATTAGAATTTATCTTGAGAAAAAAAAAATTAAAACCCTATAGCTGAATCTTTATTATCTGGCGCAGTAAAAAACGGTTATTGATTACATTTTTTTCATATTACCCACTGGATAGCCTTAGACTTTTTATCCTTAATCCGGCATTAGTCACGCTACGGTCAAAATTTTTACATCTTTAATAAAACATTTACATTTTATATTTCAATAATTGATACTCGTAAAACATTTTGAAAACGTTATTGATTGTATATTGTTGACTCATATTATATAAGTAACAATGATTATATAAGTATTAAGTATATATTATATTAAGTATATTATATAAGTAACAATGATTAAAATATAAAATATAAATTTTTTTATTA